CTCACATCTTCACCTCTCGCTCTTCTTAACTTTCTCTCTTAAGGCCGGGGGCAGTGCCGCCGGACCGCCACGAAACGCAACCCTCTGCAGAGATCGTGCGTGTCGAGCCCACGCAATGCAGGCGAGAGTGCGATTTGTCTCTGTCCGTCGCAACCCTCTGCGGAGATCGTGCGTGTCGGATGCGCAAAATGCAGGCGAGAGTGCGATTTGTCTCTGTCGCGGGCAACCCTGGCCCTCTGCGGAGATCGTGCGTGTCGGATGCGCGAAATGCAGGCGAGAGTGCGCTTTGTCCCGGTCGCGGGCAACCCTCTGCGGAGATCGTGCGTGTCGGATGCGCGAAATGCAGTGCGACTTGTCCCGGAGCAATCTGTGGAGCTGGAAGCTGAGAACTGGCGACTTTGTAGTGCAACTTTAGTACGCGGAGTATCTGGGGAGCTGGAAGCTGAGAACTGGTGACTTTGTAGTGCAACTTCAGTACGCGGAGTATCTGGGGAGCTGGAAGATGAGAACTGGCGACTTTGTAGTACAACTTTAGTACGCGGAGTATCTGGGGAGCTGGAAGATGAGAACTGGCGACTTTGTAGTACAACTGTAGTACGCGGAGCAATCTGTGGAGCTGGAAGCTGAGAACTGGCGACTTTGTCGTGCAACTTGAGTACGCGGAGTATCTGGGGAGCTGGAAGATGAGAACTGGCGACTTTCTAGTACAACTTTAGTACGCGGAGCAATCTGTGGAGCTGGAAGCTGAGAACTGGCGACTTTGTAGTACAACTTTAGTACGTGGAGTATCTGGGGAGCTGGCAGATGAGAACTGGCGAAGTTGTAGTACAACTTTAGTACGCGGAGTATCTGGGGAGCTGGAAGATGAGAACTGGCGACTTTGTAGTACAACTTCAGTACGCGGAGTATCTGGGGAGCTGGAAGATGAGAACTGGCGACTTTGTAGTACAACTTTAGTACGCGGAGTATCTGGGGAGCTGGAAGATGAGAACTGGCGACTT